TTTAGTAAGGTTATACAAAAACTGACATCATCACTTCAGAAATCACTTTATTTATATATTTATTATATTTATATTTGGCATTTGTTTCATATAGTCAAAAGATGCTTGCAAAATCTGCATGCACTTCTTTCAAATTCAATAAACAAGATGCATTATGGGGTAGCTTGAGTGGTTTAGAACCATATAAGGTATGATGAACAAAATAACTCTTTCCCCAAGCTCGGCCACGATGCAAAATGTCAGAAAAAGTGAAAATGGGCAAGTTAATTTGATGAAAACGATTCTGCTGTATTCAATAGCAGAAGGAAGCACAAAGCTGTCAAGAATGACATATTTTTCTGCGTAGTGTATGTGACGTCAAAGGAGCTCAATATAGAGGACAAGACAAAAGAATCCCATTCTCCTGAGAATTGGAAACCTATTCAGTGTTATGTCCTCAGAACTGAGCTGCATTCCTTAGTACTGTAAGGAGTCTATTTCAGAAGATTTGTCATTCCCATGAGCCGATAGTTTCTTTGTCTAGCGCTAGCTTACAAATGTGCATTCATACATATTTATAATTTATATAGATCTCATAAAAATGACACGTTTTCTGGGGAAAAAAGATGTAAAAAACTCTAGATAGGTATATTCGTTATAAGAGAACTAATACTTCAATATAATGCAATATAATGGAGAGCCTTTCTACGACACAGCCATTGTCCCCAGAAATTACTTTATAACACTATTATTATAACACTATTATTATTATATAATTATTATTATGACGCCACGGAACAAAATGGTGAAGAACAATAAGAATTTGTACAACTTTTACTCTGCAGCTAAGTTGATAGCTGTGATATGTGTTGTTTTAAATATTTTGTAAACTGGTGTTTATAATTTCATCTTTGTAAGTTCTATCAAATACAATTTTAGGCTCAGTTTCTAAGTATTGTTTCTGTTTCATCGCCATCCTACGACCATGATTCAAGAGGGCCCAACGACCTGGTTGCTAAAATTATGCTCAAACCATTCAAAATCGGGGGAAAAAACATTGTAATTAATTACACAATAGACGCCTTTCCAAAAATTGCTGGGAAAAAAAACATCCGTTCCACCGAACAATGTCAGCCAGAGAAATGATCCTTAGTTTAAACACAAAAGATTTTTTTCATGTGACATCAAGGTGATACAAGGCAATAGACCCTAACCCTAATGTCGTTTCATACCTAAACTACCACAATCCTTTTCGAATTCTATTTTATATTCAAATGTTAAAGGTCCTTTGAAAATACCAAGACGATGATTTAAATTAGCATAACAAAAAAGCTACCGAAAGAGATTCTGGAAGCGTAGGTGTGAAAAGTCAGAGTCAGGATTGAGGTCTATTGCTCCATGACATATATGTAAAAAATAATAGACATTAAAGCTAACCGAAGGTGAAAATATAATTGAAGTCAAAAATCAATGGTGCAGACGTCTGGAGCTTTGGCCAGTTGTCGCCATGACTAAAGGCGCGAATCCAAGGAGCCGTTTTCTCTGCAACTTGTCTCGCAACGGATTTGCGAAACAAGTTGCATGGATTAAAATGATCGTTGAGAAAAGTAGAATTCGTTTCTACTTTTGGCAAAGACTACGCCTCCGTTGCACCGTGCGTAAACCTTGCACTCTTGCAACTTGTGTCGAACGTTGTTGCGAGACAAGCTGCAAAGAAAATTGATCCATGTAATCTTAATTTATATCTAGAGGTGTGTCTGAATATTAGAAAAACGCCTTTTAGATATCGTATAGTCTTATTTAACTTCTTTCGAGACATTTGACGTCTTTTGAAAAAAAAAATTAAGTAAAATAAACTATAAAACATTAAAAAGTTCAGTTTGTCTTTATATTTACTTTATTATTAATAATTAGAGAGCATGCTGCAAATTTCGTATGACCGTGACGTTACCGTGTCTGAACATTCTGAACATAAAGATGAACAGTGATTTCACGTACTGTGATTGGTTCAAAGAATGCCGTCTATCTGTACCGTGACCGTGACGTTACCGTGTCTGAACATTTTAATTGGATGAACAGTGATCTCACGTACTATGATTGGTTCAGAGAATGTCGTCTATCTGTACCGTGACCGTGACGTTACCGTGTCTGAACATTTTAATTGGATGAACAGTGATTAC